AAAAAGTAACAGTGAAATAAACAACAAAATTTTGAAAGGAAAAAAAGAAACGCCAGGTGGTAACCGGACAAAAAGGGGAAGAGAAGAGTTACCATTGAATGAGCTGATGTCCAAATGGCTAACGTTCGGCATACAAACAGTGAACAGATCTTCGACCGCTGCAGAAGGCAAACTTACGGCGCAATCAATGCACAATTTACGAAGATGATGCGCTGCCTGAAAAAAGTTTTCCAAATTATTCGTCCATTTCTACTCGATTTAGCTGCTTTTTTAACATAGAGCAATTTCATGTTACCAGCGCAACCCACAACGCTTTACATTGGCTTCAGTGACTAGAACTGCACACCGACTGTTAACTGCTGATGTACACATTCAAGCTTTTTTTTAATCTCTAACGCTTCATTCGCCACACAGCACGTTCAATTCTTGCTGGCTTTTCACGGGACTTCCGCGACAACAAAAGAAAACCTCCCGCTGCACAGAACCATTTTATTCGTCGCCAGTGACGTAGATTCAATTAAAGCACTAACTCTATCAAAAAGTCTTCGCACGGCTCCACTCGCCAAAGACTGCTCAGTGACCAGAACTCGTAATTCGGTAAAAAGAGACGGATCATTTGCTAAATTGTTCCAGCGTCGGCATACCCAAGATAAACAATGAATTAGGTCGATCGGATGGAAATAACCAATTATTTTCAAAAGTATTTCATCCGGCAAAATATTAATCGTTGCAAGAGTATCCTAAATTAATTCACTTTCTATTGACAAAAAATTTTTATGTGTTTTCACATAGATAATTTATTCACAAATGCATCATGGCAAGTACGTGGATGCAGGTGCGTCTAGTCAAAAAAATAGTAGAACTTAGGAATTATAAAAACCAGGAAGTTAAAATTGTGGAAGCAATCGCAAGTTCATAAAACCATGTACCCAATATCAGCTTATGCTATGGCTGCATGTCAAAATTCAGTTTCGCATTCTAAATTCGATAACTGAAAAGTAGTGCGCCAGAAATTTCCGGAAAATTGATCCGGCGGATAAAAGGAAGCACATGCGCTAGTAACTAAAATTAATTAGAGATTTTCAATTAATTTCATTATTGCTGGAATTTACCATTTCTTTAAAAGTTTCCCCAAAAAAAAACTCTTGTAATTACTTTCACACAGTCAGCACGGTCACCTTCTGTATTCCTAACTTCTACAACATACCAAGCACCACTGTTTCCCGTTAAATATTTTCCAGGTGTTATTACCCTATCCTTTTCGCCACTACATTCATCATCTCGACAAAAATTCAGTTGATTTTCACTTTTATTCTCAAACAAGTGCATGGTGACCCATCTTTTTTTTTCAGTTCATAAGCCGTCGACTAATTAGTAAAATATGTCTACTACAACAGCAAAAAAATAGCAAAAAAAGCAGTAGGGCATCAAATCAGAGTACTTCATTTTGCGGGCTGTCCTCCGGTTGATCCACAGCTCTGTTTGAGTGGATTTCACGCTCAGTATCAGCCGTTTCTTTCTTTCGCAACGGGTAATAGATGTTTAGACATTCAGCGCTGCTTCTGCAAAAACTTCATCAGTTGGCGAGCATCGGCTGCGGTGGATCGCTTGCCTCAAAACATCCAGTAATTTAAGACAATCTCCAAAATATCTGGATTATCGCAACAGACTAGCTCCAAAATGCATAACTCATGCTACCCATTTTCGCGAACTCCATACGACTGCAGTCTTCGTGCAAGCACCCTTGGAACCAGTCTTCATTACTACTCACTTCTTATGGACGGACAGATGACCTTCTACGCAAAAATACAAGCTAGAAAGCTGAAATTTTGTGAATATGATCCCTTGCCTTAAAACAAGTTCAGTCATCTATCACACTCAATGTGCGTACAGACAAACGAAATTTGAGCTTGGATAATTTTTTCACTGGGCATCCAGACAAGC